AGTGGACGATCCGGGTGTCGCTCTATTAGAGGTTTTACGGTATCTTAAGAACGAGTGATTTTCGGATTATCCTTCAAGAGAGTTTTCTTCCCGACCCGAAATTCTGGATCGATTGTTATGAAAATCTCAAAAATTTTGGAATTAGCGGACGTTCCCTTTGAAGATATTTTTAAAAAGCCAACTAACGAACTGTTTATCATAATACCACAAATATTCTATCAATGAACCACTTTTTGATATCATACTCAGAAACCGAGATAAAACGGTTAAATTTGACGAGTAGGGTGCCCTTCTATTACATGTATTACGGTATCGCAATTTCGATAATGATAATATAAATATAAAATGTCCCGATAAATGTTTCTAGACCAAGAGTTAATTGCTTAATTTAAATAAAATGTAACAAAATCAGCAAAAACACATTTTGAGAACTTCTTCTCGCAACTTTTTCAACCACAAACCGTGATTACAGATGATGTTTCGCTAGACTAGTTCTGAATTGTTTTGACTAGTTCTGAATTGTTTTTCCTTTTTGTGATATTCTATGTGAAACTTTAGAATTTCCAAATATGTGGTACCCGGTGAGAAAAAAGAAACTAACTGTCAGGTAAACGACCTTTCAACTTCTAAATCCAAAGGTATCACTAAATTGGTCACACTCGATCTAGAACCTGACACAACACGAACTAGTAAGAATCCATTCTCAAGAAAAAATACACGAAAGTCTAAAGACCGACCGCCCATTCAGCGATAATTGTAACCAGATGATTCGGGAAAAATTATGAACTAGATCAAAAGAACATTAAGAACAGAGATAGAACAACCCGGATGCGGTGCTCTCTGATTTCAAAAAGCCGTATTGGCTCCCAGAGAAACGACAAAACTGATGAGCCAAGACAAAAAAGAGAGAAGGCGGGGAAGGCTCTGAACGCCCAAATCGAGTTAGTTTTCTTTTCAAAGAAAACGACAGACACAGAGGGCAGTTGAGTCCGAAGGAAGACAAAAAAAGAAGGGTTGAAAGACAGAAAAGAGTGCTGAAAAGAGAGTAACAAAATAAGAAAGAATCGCTCTGTTGGGAATACCAATTGAGTACTATTGCCATGGGCTTATCTCTCTGTCATTAGAGTTGTATAGTTGTAGTCCTGGATATGCTGTTATGGGTAAAAAAGGAGGATAAAATGAAAATTGACAACCGGAAACAACATCATTGAAAATAAGAAGGTAACACGAAGTTTCAATAATTCATTCTGCCAAAAAAAAAGAAAAGGATCTGGTTACAAATTGGGAAAGGAAGAAGAAGAAAAGCCAGGCTGTTTTGAAGTTGAGTCATGCTTTTATCGATGACCGGAATCGGAAAAAGAGAAAGTTTCAATGTGTAATTGTTCCTTGATCTGGATGTGGTATAATGAAGTTTCCAGCCAAGTGGAAAATAATTTGAAGTTTGAAAATGTTTAAGGTTCTGCTGACGTCACAGTTGCAATTCTTATGACCTCATTGTAGTTAGAGGTTATTATGCTGATATGCAATAATCGGCGCCGTGGAAGGGAAACGCCGGTGGCCGTCGCGGAAAGTCCCACAACGACAACTACCGTAACCTAAAAGTATTTTGATTTTCTGATTTTTATTTCTCGATTTCCGTATGTTTTCAGCAGAAATGTCCGGAATGACAATTCTGAGAAACGGAATCCGAAATCCGGAATCCGGAATGACAATTCTGAGAAACGGAATCCGAAATCCGGAATCCGGAATGACAATTCTGAGAAACGGAATCCGAAATCCGGAATCCGGAATGACAATTCTGAGAAACGGAATCCGAAATCCGGAATCCGGAATGACAATTCTGAGAAACGGAATCCGAAATCCGGAATCCGGAATGACAATTCTGAGAAACGGAATCCGAAATCCGGAATCCGGAATAGTATAATTTTCTCAGAATCCGGAATCCTGAACCCAGAATGAAACTAATTTTCCGAAATCCGTAAAATGGAATCCGGAATGAAAAAACCCCGGAAGTCGGAATATTCTCCAAATGGACAGAAAAGTTCTAAAAACACAAATCGTTCTATATTTTTGACTTTTAAACGCGGAAGTTCTAAAAAGTCAGAGAATTCTTGAAAATTAACAAATATGCTTAAAATCCGGAATGAAAAATTTTATCGGAATCCGGACAAATGAAATTTTTCTGGAATCCGGAATACGGAATCCGGACTAAAATATTTTTCACGGAATCCGGAATCCGGAAATCTCTGGTTTTCAGTCACTTTTTAACTATCCAAAATTTTTTTTTTTTTTTTGATTTTTTTAAATTTTTGATTTTTTTCTTGTTTGGGGAAAAATAACAGAAAACTCGACGAAAAGCGAAATCGAGAGAATGAATCCGGAAAGTAAAATTTAGGTTAGGTTACGGTAGACGTCATTGTTGGACTTTCGGAAAGGGCCACCGGCGTTTCTCTTCGACAGCTCCGATTTTTTTCGTACCAGAAAAATAATATAACAAAAATTATGGAACTTTTCCTTTATATTCTGAAGAGCAATGAAGCAAACGGAAGAATTTTCTCATTTTCTCCTTCTCAAGAACTCTTAAAACATTCTTATTTCCCCCATCAGCTGAATGACTAGTCTCGAACAAAACCACTCTAAAAACGAACTGAATTGAGAAAACCACTCTTTCCCATTAAGATGGAAAATACATCAGAAAAAGAGAGCCAAATTCGGAAATGAGCGTTTCGTTGGACCAAAACGCAACACGATTTCATTCATTTAGACGATGAGGGTTTGATTGAAAAGAGCAAAAATAGTGGGAGCAGAAGTGGGCTAGTTCTTTTCTAGAGACCGCTTTTTGATATATAGCTGACGTCCGGCAGTAGTTGTTGGTTGCTGACTCTGTCGGCATATCGACTGTAATTGCCTGCACTTTTGGTAAACTAAACTTTTTCAAGAAAGAAGTGCAGAAAAGGAAAAGGAATACAGCTATTGAAAAGAGAGATGTATAGTTTATTCACACCGTATATTTAGACATGCATGTTAAAAATAATATTTTGAAATCAAATTTCGACTGAAATCTCAATGTATTTTTCTCGAATCAATCATTGGGATTGTAGTGTTAATTGTGGTGTTGTTGTGACTGTACATGGATGCAGCAGATACACGACCGTCAGTTCTCAAGGATTTAGGAACGAATCGTTTGAAGTTTGGAACGTTAGGATCGATTTTCCTAGTTGTGTTGGCCATGAAATCAGGTGGATGGAAAATTAAATTGGTATACTTGATTGTTTCGTTCGGAGCGGATGGTCCTCGGTCAAAGTGCATTTCAGTATTGTCCGACTCGTCCTCCGACCTTTGACATGACTCTTGTACTTGACTGGCGGATGGGATTGCTGCCACTTGATTTATAATTGATTCAACGTCTTTATCTTGCTTGATTTTTGGCCTGAAATAAGTTTAGAAGGAAATCATACGAAATTTTCCCAGATTACATTTGCAAGATATCATTTGATGACAATAGATCTGGCTTCACTTCATAAGATTTGCTTTTTTTAGCTGGAGTCTCATCTTCGAAAATTTGAGTGAGATCAGCTTTCCGTGTTCGCGGACCTTTCTTTCCAAGGTTTTCGATTTCTTCCTCGAAGTTAATCGGTTTCGAAGCTACCGGACCTCTCTTTCCGCGTGGCTGGATATCATCGAACAAATTTGCATCGGATTTTCTTTTTACTGAAATCACATGAATCTTCAACATCATAAGAACGGTTTAACGCACATTTCGGTTTGTATTTCGACATGTTGATCACAGAAATGGATGAAATGCCATCGTAACTGCAATAAAAGGTACTTTAGAGCTTGGGATGAAAAATGTATTACTGGTCTACTTCCACAGGAGGCGTAACTCTTTCAGTTTTTTTCGGAACTTTGGTTACAGGAACCTCGACACTGGCTGTGGATCTGACCGGGCTAGGAGGATGTGAATCAACGATAGTCTCTTCCAGCTCATTTGTATTGTTGTGGGCTTCTTGGAAGTTATCATTTTCACTGACTGCTAATTCGACATCTATTCCCATAGAGAAACCTCCGATTTCTAGATTATAAGTTCCTCCTTCCAGTTGTTCTTTTGCTTGTTTTACTCGTTTGCCATTAACCAGTGTACCTTCCTTGCTTTTATCGATAAAGAACACTCCCTGCAATCAGAACAGATTCCAGATGTGTATAGAATACAATCTCAAACCTCGTCCGTCCATTCAACCGCGGCATGATGTCTAGACACACGAGCAGCATGAGGATCGAATGTTACGTGGCAAACTTTTTTGTCGCGACCGAAATTAACTTCTCCTTTCTGTTTCAGAGAGTAAACTTCTAAAAATAAAAAGAATAGATCCCAGTTTCAATCTAATTTTTCACAACCTTCTTTGGAATCGTTTTTGATTTTGACTTCTTTAATTGACATTCTCCACTAAACTCGTATTATTTTTTCTGCATTTGGAACAAAGCAGATACGATGTCAGAACTCCACAATTTTCTTGCATGAAAAAACAATAAAAAAACCCAAAAAGTTTATTTTTGGAATACAACAACGAAATTAACAGCTTAGAACTGGATGACTTGTCCGCGGGACTTCTTCTGTCCTCCGAGCTCGAAGTGTTTGCATCTGAAATGATATTCAGTGATTTATGAGGTTATTCATGTAGCGAAAATATGTATTGAATGCATTTCCGCGCCCTCGAAATTCAATGCATGAGCGTTGCGAAGCGTATTTCAATGCATTTACAGTTATGTCGCGAAATGCTTTGAAATACGCTTCGCAACGCTCATGCATTGAATTTCGAGGGCGCGGAAATGCATTCAATACATATTTTCGCTACATGAATAACCTCATAAATCACTGAATATCATTTCAGATGCAAACACTTCGAGCTCGGAGGACAGAAGAAGTCCCGCGGACAAGTCATCCAGTTCTAAGCTGTTAATTTCGTTGTTGTATTCCAAAAATAAACTTTTTGGGTTTTTTTATTGTTTTTTCATGCAAGAAAATTGTGGAGTTCTGACATCGTATCTGCTTTGTTCCAAATGCAGAAAAAATAATACGAGTTTAGTGGAGAATGTCAATTAAAGAAGTCAAAATCAAAAACGATTCCAAAGAAGGTTGTGAAAAATTAGATTGAAACTGGGATCTATTCTTTTTATTTTTAGAAGTTTACTCTCTGAAACAGAAAGGAGAAGTTAATTTCGGTCGCGACAAAAAAGTTTGCCACGTAACATTCGATCCTCATGCTGCTCGTGTGTCTAGACATCATGCCGCGGTTGAATGGACGGACGAGGTTTGAGATTGTATTCTATACACATCTGGAATCTGTTCTGATTGCAGGGAGTGTTCTTTATCGATAAAAGCAAGGAAGGTACACTGGTT